AAAAGAAAGCTCAGATAAGCTGGGGATATAAGTCAGCAGCACTGTGCCTGCTTGGCAAGTGTGAAGTTGTAAGTTCAATTACTGGTACAAAAAAAAAGAAAGAAAGAAAGACATCAGATAATAGCAACTGCTGGTGCCTGTGTGGGCTCTTGTCTGTCTGCAAGAAGCATGTTTTCCCCACCGTCAGCCAAGTGGCTCGGAGTGGAATCCTGTCTGTAGAGCAGGCCGTGCTCCCAGGCGCTGGCCCCGTGTGGACACCCCGGGCACTGGGTGGGGACAGGCTGTCTCCTCCTGCCAACTCACTTGCCTGCGCGGCCCCCCTTGGAGCTCAAAAGCTGCCCTTCTAGGGTTTCCTTCCAGCTGGCTCAGGCTGCGACCTTGAGAAAGTGCCTTTCTCTCCACTTCTGCTGCACACTCTTCTGGAATCAGGGCCAACGACGCCTTCGGTCTTGTTCAACACTGGGAGGAAACCGGCGGGCCAGCCCCGCAGCGATCCCTGCGCCACCGGGCGAGGTGGCCCCAGGCTCCCTGTCCTGGTTCCGCAGAGGTCAGGCACGTCCAGGGTGCGGATGGAAGTGTGCTGCTCTAAGGGAACAGAGAGATTTTCACATTCTCCCTTCTGCGAAGTTTTCATTTTTTCTTCTTTTCCTCTCACACCTTGGCTAAACCACCTTGCTTCTCTCCAAAATGTCCTCCCCCATCTCCTCTTGTGAAATCATACTTGTCACTCAAGGCTCTGCTGAAATGCCACATTTCCATAAAATTTGCCTCTACTCTTTCAACTAAACGCCTCCCTCTCTTTCTCTCCTCCTTGAGCACCTTTGTTTTTACCTCTCTTCAGCTCATATTCTTACAGGAATTTTAGTGGTTTTAAATATACATAGCTTATTCTCCTTGCAATTTCCAGAATAAGGTAAAAATAATCTTTTATTGGTATAACTTCTTAAACTCCTAATAACAGCTTCTCATATTATTAGTTGCCTGAAATTTAATTGCTGAATTATCAAAGAAATAGATGAAATATTTGCAGAAGAAAGTTTAAATAGTGATGAGAGCCAGAAAACTCAGGTCTCAGGTGGCATGGAAGAATTTTTGCTGCCTGTTAAATTCCCCTCCCTCATCTGTCTGTCCATTGTTTATTCATCCATTCTTTTGTTATTATTATTTTTTTGTATTTTAGGGTAGCGTCTACAGGATGTTCAGGGTCTCACTACTAGATCTGACTCATAGTGATCCACCTGTTTACAGCTTCCCAAAAGCTGGGATTATAGGCACATGCCACCATGCCCAGTCTCAATTGCCATCTCAGTGTGCCCCAGGGGTGGGGGCAGCACAGCAGGCCCGGGTATTGAACCTCCCAGGCCCCTGAGCCTGCTTGCAAGCACTTTAATCCGCTGAGCTATTTGGCCGGCCCTCATTCGTCCATTCTTGAGCGAGGGCTACCTGAATAGCTTCTAGCGAGGATGCTGCACAAGGTGCTTCAGCAGAGCACTCTGTACCTCCTTCCTGCTCAGGTTCCAGAGTGAAGGAGGCTGTGCTTTGAGATGCCTGGGTGTGGCTGTGTAACCTTGAATGGGTCACATAAGTGAAACATCAGTTTTGGTTTGTTCATAAATTCCAGCGGACAAGGTGGGAGATGGTAACAGCTCTTGTTCTCCTGACTCACCCTGAAGCACTGCAGGTAAAGAACAATAACAGGGCTGGTGAGATAACTCAGCAGACTAAGCACCTGCTTTGGCAAGCGCAGGGACAGGGGTTCGATCCTCCATCCTACACGCTGCGCTGGTGACTGAGTCCAGGTGTGGTGGCACACCCCGGTAATCCAGCACTGGGGAGGCTGGAAACAGGAGGATCGCTACAAGTACAAACTGCACTGTGAGACCCTGCACCAAATATATAAATGAAAAAAAAAACAATAACAACAGGAAGACACGTTTCTTCTCCAGGAATACTGTAAGATACACATGTGCATATGAGGGTGCGTACATACATAAATGGAGGTACATGCGTATTTATTAGTGTTTGGTCCCTGGGGCAAAAAACCTGGGGTACAAAAATTAATAGAGGCAAGGCTTACTGTACTTCGGCTCAAGGCTTCCGAGATTTCAGTTCATGGTCATGTTCCGGGGGCAGGGAGTGGTGAGCTTGTGCCTTCATGGCTCTGTTCTGGCCAGGCCCACCTTCTGCAGCACACAGGCTGTGAACTCATCAATGGAAGAATCCACTGCTGAGTAAAATTAGTGGTGCAGTCTCCTTATCTGTAGGTGACTGGTCCTCTGACCTTCTCAAAACCCTACTTCTGAACACCAGAGTCCTGTGAGTCTCTTAGGATGCAAGCCATAACAGCATATGTATTTTAAAAGTGAGAGAGGCACTACATCATAAACATCCAGCAAATGATAAACAGTGCCTGGTGGTACCTTAGACACAAAAGCTCAGCGCGTTCAGTGGTGCACACTTAGGAAAAAATAGGTAATTATTTGTTACAGATTTTTGTAGCAAAAAAAGTTGAGAAAACAACATTTAAATTTTATTTTTACTATAAAATGAACATAGCTTCATAACACCTTTTCTGGCTATGATCACAGTGCGTACACAACAGTGCGAACACAACAATGCATACTTGTAGTCAATCTGTATGTTATAGTTTGTGTTCTAGTTTACTTTTAGGATTACTTCAAATAGACTTTTTTTTTTTCGGAACCGGGGATTGAACTCAAGCCCTTGAACTTGCCAGGCAAGTGCTTATTCTACTGAGCCATCTCCCCGGCCCCTTCAAATAGACTTTTGCATATTTTCATTCTTAATATCAGTAGTATCTGTTTATCTGCAGAATTTAACTCTTTCCCAGTTGTTGATCCCAAGAGCAGTTTTGAATTCTTTTGTATGACGCACGGCCTATTTTTAATTGCAGGCAGATTCCTGCCCCAGCTCACACATTCTTGGCCTGGTTGCCTCTACTGTCAGTTGCTGTATACCCAGGAATGCCAGCTCGCTTTATTATTAGCCTGAGCAAAACAGAATTAGGAAGGGACTATAAATGTTTTATTTTTAAAATCAGATTGTGTATTTCCAAGAGGGCTTGACAACAACTTCCTCTGGAGAAAACTGACTTGGGGACCATGGGTCGTAGCTCTTACTTAGCGAGGAAGATGGGTGGCCATCCACCCAGGCTGGGGTTTTAGCCACTGTTAACACTCATTACACTGAACTCTCGGGGAGTTTGAAGTTCAGTGCTGGGTGATGACCTTCGTGTGCAAAACAGGTGACCAGGTCTGCCATCGCAGGGGGTTATGGGAATGTAGGGGCTGCTCCAATCTGGCCAGGGATCCTGAGAAGACATACCAAGGAAACTGAGGCCTGAGGACCTGTGGATGGTGTCTAGGCAAGGGGGAAAATGTGCCATACCGAGAAGCCCAAATGGAATCAAGTCTTTATTTTTTTTTTTATTTTTATTTTATTTTTTTTTTGGAATCAAGTCTTTATACATATTTGTAATTTTTTCCCCTTCTCTGGGGCCTATTAATTTCAGTCTAATAATGTTTTTGGTTTGAGGTTTGGGGTATACCTGGATATGGAAGTGAATGTATAAGCTGAACATTAGGTTTGGAAGGGACTCGTAATCATATTAAACAGCTTGACTTAGTGTTGGGGGGGAGTAAAGCTCTCTTGGAAAACATTTGCAGCTACTTACAAAGTAAAACACCAGGTTACCCTATGACCTAAGAATTTCACTCCTGCTTGGCCATGAGAAATGAAAACACATTCATATAAAACACTTGTGTGTGAATGTTCAATTTTATTTACAATGGCCAAAAGCAGAAACAACCTAAATATCTCTCAGCTAATGAATATATAAATGAAGTGTTGTGTATCCCCACCATGGAATATTATTCAGCTATGAACAGGAATGAAATTCAGATACATGATACAAGATGAATGAGTCTGGAAATCATTTTATAAGTGAAAGCCGTCATTCACCAAAAAAAAAAAAAAAAAAAAATCACGCATTGTTTGAGTCTATTGACATAAGATGTCTGGAGTAGACAAACCCACAAAATCAGAAAGTAGATTATGAGATAGCTAGGGACTGAGGGAGGTTTGGGAAGAATGGAGTGTAGCCAGTTGTGGGTGTGAGGTTTCCTTTGAGTGATGGAATGCTCTGAGACTGCGGTGATAGTTGTGGAGTGCTACTAAAACAGCACGTATTAATATAGCACTCCACAGGCTGTTGAACTGCGTGCTTTAAACGGGTGAATTGTGTAGCACTTGGAGTGTACCTCCATGATGCGAGTAAAAACCATCAGGAGGGGCCGGGGAGATGGCTCAGTGGAATAAGCACTTCCCTGGCAAGCGCAAGGGCCAGAGTTCAATCCCTGGCTCCGCAAAACAAACAAACAAACAAACAAACAAACACCCCCCAAAACATCAGGATAGTAGGGAGGTCATTAGATTTTAAACAAGAAGTTCCAGCATTAAATTTACTCCTTAGAACATTTTCTCTGGAAGCAGTGTGGGAAACAGTTCAGGAAGGGCCCAGCTAAAAAGGGGAAGGCTGGTTAGAGGCTGGTTGGGGTTAAGTAACACTGGTGGGAGAAACACAGGGCTCCTTGAGCTAAGGCTATTATGATACAGACAGCAGCAGACACATCTGAGACTAGAGTAAAACTGGTGGTTGTCAGACATAAAGGATGGGAAGTTACACATCTGTCTTAGTCTGGTTTGTGTTGCTGTAACAAAATGCCTGAGGCTGGGTAACTTATAAATAAGAGAAGTTTACTTAGCTGACCGTTTTAGAGGCAAGGAAGTTTAGGGGCAGAGGGCCACATCTGACAAGGGTCTAAGAGTTCATTATAACATGACGGATGGCAATGTAGCGTGGAGTGTGACTGACCTGTGCAGAAGACCTTGTATGACCTTGCTTTGCAACAGTCAGCTCTTGAGGCAACTACATTATTCAGTCCCATAAGACCTTTCCCATAATTCAGTCTCCAGGAAAATACCTTGTTTCTGGAAGAAGTAATGAATCCATTCCTGAAAGCAGGAGCCCCCAGTGCCTGACTATCTCCTACCACATCAGTAATGAAATGTCACATGCATTTGTGGAGAGAAACCACAGCTGGGTTTCACACAGCTATTTCTGGGGTGGGGGCAGTGAGGGATGCTCACTCAGAAGGGAAAGCTGGAAGGGCTGGATTCAGGGCATGCTGATTTATGTCCAGGACTAGATGAGTTGAGGATGTCTTTTCAGAACCAAGATGACGTTGGCTATAAGATTACGTGATGATGTAATTCTGGAGCCTAGGGGAGAGGGCTAATCCAGAGGGAGTAGCCAATCTGTCATCCTACTCTCCTTCTACCTCCTGAGATGGCTGTGATTCCTCCCAGGAGAGGGATGTAGATAGAGATGCGGTAGCCTAACATAAGGAGGTGAAACACTCTCTCTCTCCCTTCTCTGAGGTTTCCAAAACTGAGTCCGCAAGATAAACCAACAATAGGCAGATTAGCAGGAGGAAATGTGACCATTTATTTCATGTACAGGGGAATCACATGAAGGCATAGCCAATGCCCTGAAGCCCAGGGGGATGTAGGAGTTTATATTCTCACTTCACAGGGGAGAGGAGCGGGAGAGGAAGGTAACTTAGGAGAAAAGAAGTGGTTTGCAGGGAAGATGAGCGCGTCCTGGAAGAGGTGCCAGACTGTGACCACCTGGGCACAGTTTGGGGCTCCAGTCTCCCCATCTGGGACATAAGCTGATCTCCCCTTGTTGATAAAGTTCCAGGAAGGGGACTTGTATTTTCAAGGGAATAGATTTAATACAGGACCCATAATGAATGTATAGGATTATTTTACAATACTCATCCAAAAAGTCAAATGGGGAAGAATGCAAGAGATCGGTCCCTGTGCTAGAGACCCAAAGAGTGCAGCTGAGGGTGTGGGCCCCACAGCGAGGCAGGGTCCAGCTGGAGCCCCAGAGCCCACGACAGGGTCCTACGTAAGTCTGTATTGAGGATCTGCACTGGGAAGGCCCAAAGGCTGGCGGCGGGAGCCAGACAGGCTTTGCCAGCAGGTTAATTATCTCAGGAGTTTTGTGATAGTGTTGGAAAGCTGGCTTGTACGACAGACGCTGTTTCTTGGCTAAGAGGCATGGGGCTGACTTGGACTATTAGCTCACCGTACTTAGCATTCGTATAGCGGCAAGGACTGCAGTTGGTTATTTTGTTTGTGTTAGGACTCATGTTCTATGAAGCATTGTATAACTGAGGAAGAAAAATGCGATTTAAATCCAAAGCCAGCTTAAAAAATGGTCTGTCTGGCCACTACACCCATATCTCTTGATACTTTGTACCACAGTTTGGGCAGGTGTGCTATGGACAGACAGACAGACAGACAGGCAGGCAGGCAGGCAGGCAGGCAGGCAGTAGGGTGTTGCTCAGACTTACTAATATTCTGTCCTTAGACAGTTCTCAGATTTCAGGTTTTGCACCTGAAAATGAGAGCTACTCTATTTACTATGTGATAACTTTATCGATAAAAATTTATAAAATGCCTCTCCCGGATTATATTGTTTTACCAAGAGGTCTGTACAATACTACAGAGAAAGCATCTCAGCCCTTCGCTTTTGTTCTCTCTGCTAGCTCTGAGATCTGTTCTAGCTACCTAAGTCATCTTACCTCAGGCAGATGTCACTTTAGACTAAGATCATTCCAAAACACTTTCTTTCTTTCTTTCTTTCTTTCTTTCTTTCTTTCTTTCTTTCTTTCTTTCTTTCTTTGTATTTAGAACAGGATGTACAGGGTGTCCAGGGTCTCACTGTGTAGAATGGACTCGTAGTGATCCTCCTGTTTGCAGCCTCCCAAGAGCTGGGATTACAGGCACGCACTCTACCACACCCAGTCTCAATTGCTCTCTCAGTGTGCCCCCGGGGTAAGGCTGGCACATCAGGCCTGGGGATCAAACCCCCACCCCTGCATCTGCCTAAGCAGGTGCTTTAATCTGCTGAGCTATTTGGCTGGCCCTTTCAAATTTGTGTTCTCTTAATGAATTGCATGATTTTTAAAAACTGATAGTACTTTGGTCTAATTTGCTGGTAGATTGTGCAATAAATACATGTATTGAAATACAAATGTCCACTGAATCAATGACTATGATAAAAACTTGAAATGTGGAAAAAAAAAAAAAAGAAAGAAATACAGATGTTCCTCAGTTTTTGCCTCTCCCTCCCTCCTCCCCGCCCCTTCCTGTCCCTTATGTCTGCTCTGGGAGTGCATCACAGGAAGAGAGGCTCGGTGCCAGATGTGTGGGTGGGCCTGGGAGAACGGGTCCGACCAAGACCTACACAGCCCAGATCTTGAAGAACTCTATGTCCTTGTTGAGGTTGACCCTGAGTTCTTCTCCATTTGTCTCTACAGCCAGAGACCTTTGGCCTCTGAGGTGGCCACACTGTCTGGGACTTCTGGTACACTTTGTGGGCCAGACAGGCCAAGAGGGCAAACTGGGTCCAGCTGGAGAACCCTAAATTACCCAGAGAGAGGGGAAGGGACAGGGCGTCTTCCAGGCTGGGCGAATAGGAAGGCAGGGGAGGGGAGGGCCCCAGCAGGCCCTGGCAGGAACCTGCAGTGGATTTTTTTGTCCTTTCTCCAAAGCATGCTCCTGGGAGCCAACCAGCAGGCTCTGTGTGTTCATTTTGTATCCCAGGAGCGAACACAGAGCCTTGGCAAGGGAACGTCAGACCTATGATACTGACACGGCTCTCTGACATTAAAGTGCAGA